CAGACTTCTGACCTACACAGACATGAGCTAATAAATGAATTCTGTTTGAAGCTGCTAAATTTATAATTTCTAATACAAAGTGCTATTCTTTAAGAAAAATCAGGAAGACTTTGTGGCCAGAGAAATTGTTCAAATTCTCTGCTTCATAGGACCCTAAATTGGAAATTTAGTGGCTTCCGGGTATGTTAGTACAATTCGCTTTAACTTTTTCTCTAAAGTTCCTGTGTGAAACAAGAGTTCTTTATCTTTAGTTGCCTTCTCTATAAAACAAGAGTAGTACTATATTATCTCCCCCACAGAGCTATTATAAAAATTAAGGTCTATGTGTATAAAGATCTGTGAGAGCAGCTTAGAAAAAAACTATAGTGAAAGTGATATGATATGAAGTTACTTATCAGATAGCTGTTATCTATATAATAAAAGCGTAATATGCTAATTAGACCAGACATCCTTTTGGAAGTCTTTCCATCCAAACCTGTGCTGGGCGGGGGCTGGGGCCAAGGCCCTTGCACGAATTTCATGCATCAGGCCTCTAGTAACTAATAAATGTTGTCACTGTTGTTTAGGATCTTAGACTCTTATAGAGGGGGTAAAGTACGTTAGTAAATATATGTATATTGGTTTGTACTGAGGAGAAAGTGCAAGCAGTGTCTGAAGAATGGGAAAATCCTATATAATAAAAGCCTAATGTGCTAAGTGTATGCTCATCCATTCAACCAATCAAAGCATAATATGCTAATGATATGCTAAGGCTGCTCAACCACTCGCTATAACATGAACTGACCACCACGGGACAGACAGTCACTAGTCACTATGACATGCACTGACCACCAGAGGGAAGATGCTCCGAATGATAGGTTAGCTTGCTGCTGGGGTCCAGCCGATCGGGACTGAGTGAGACGGGCTGGACATGCCCTGGACCCTCCCATGGTCCCTCCCCGGATGGCCAACCTCCCGCGTCCTTCCCCAGCCTCGATCGTGCACTGGTGGGGAACCTTGGCCTGGTCTGCACCCTCTCATAATCCAGGACCACTCAGGAGATGTCAGAGAGCTGGTTTTGGCCTGATCCCGCAGGCCAGGCTGAGGGACCCCACTGGTGCGCAAATTCGTGCACCGGGCCTCTAGTAGACTATAAATCTCACCTGATAAAATGAATGCACTCTCTCAGATAGGAGACTCAATTCTGTGTGATATCATTTTAGAATGTTCTACAACTGAGAGCCCTATCAACTTGGCTAATCAGCAGAGGTGCCAACTTGAGTATTTCTGAGGATGTATTATACCATCCTGTCTTCAAATCTATTTCTATTATGCTGCATATATGGGATTCTGTGAGTCCATTACCTCTACCTAAGGTTTATTTAAAAGTTGCTTCCGGGTATGTTACTTTTTCTCTAAATTTCCTGCATGAAACAAGAGTTCTGAATTCAAATGAAATGCACAGTGGAATAAGCAAAGTAAATGTAACTTACTTTGTATCTCTTAAAAAAAAGAAGAAATGAGAAAGAAATTTTTAAAACCAGACCAAAATTCACAAGTGACCTAGAACATTGAGCAGCATGAGCCCTCCAGTGAATATACTCAGCCCTGGCAATGGGCTTCCTTGGAGGATAAGGATCTCCATTTAACGAATATTTACATGGCTGGGACCTAAGGGAATTCATGTCCACACTCCCAGCTTCAGTTTACTTTTTCAGAAATTGAGAGAATTTGACTCACTGTTTTCCAGGAGACTCTAGCTCTGCAATGTTCAAGTACCACTATGTGCAAAGCACCCTGCTAGGAATGATGAGAGATACAAAAATGCCCTCCGTAGTACTTATCCACTTTGGGCTTTAGTTTTCTCACATGTAAAACTGGGTGGATGTGAGGATTCAGGATGTACTTGTTTTGTTTATTAATTAACATTTTTATCCAGTTAATTGGGGTGACATTGGTTAATAAAATTATATAGGTTTCAGGTATACAATTTTACAATACATCATCTGTATATTGCATTGTATGTTTACCACCTCAAGTCAACTCTTCTTCCATCACCATTTATCCCCCCCCCTTTTTAAAAATATATTTTATTGATTTTTTAGAGAGGAAGGGAGAGAGATAGAGAGTTAGAAACATCGATCAACTGCCTCCTGCACATCTCCCACTGGGGATGTGCCCGCAACCCAGGTACATGCCCTTGACCGGAATCGAACCTGGGACCTTTCAGTCCGCAAGCCGACGCTCTATCCACTGAGCCAAACCAGTTTCGTCCATTTATCCCCCTTTTATCCTCTTCTATCTCCCTCCACCCCACTTCCCTCTGGCAGTCTCCATACTATGTCTGTGCTCAGGAGTCTTTCTTTTTCTCTTTGTTTAATCCCTTCACCAATCTCATTCAGCCTTGTAGTGTGGTTTGATATCATGATTCCTCTAACTGTTCTTCTTTCTCAAGATTTCTATGGCTTATTTGGGGTCTCTTGTGGTTCCATTTAAATTTTTGGAGTGTTTGTTCTAGGTCTGTGAAATATGCCATTGGTGTTTTAATAGAAATTGCATTGAATCTGTAGGTTACTTTGGGTAGTATGGACATTTTAACAATGTTGATTCTACCAATCCATAAAGTGGTATATTTTTCCACTTGTTTATATCTTCCTCTACCTCTTTTCTTAACAGCCTGTAGTTTTCAGAGTACAGGTCTTTTAACTCCTTGGTTAAGTTTATTCTTAAGTATATGGATTTTTTTGTTGCAATGGTAAATGGGTCTTTTTTTTTAGTTTCCCTTTCTGAGAGTTCATTATCCTACATAATAAAAGCCTACTATGCTAAGTGTCCTGTCATCCAGTTGGCTGTTCAACCAATCAAAGCATAATATGCTAATGATATGCTAAGGCCACTCAACCACTCACTATGATGTGCACTGGCCACCAGGGGGAAGATGCTCTGACCAGTAGGTGAACTTGCTGCTGGGGTCCGGCCCATTGGGACTGAGCAAGATGGGCCGGACATGCCCTGGAGCACTCCTGCAATCCCTGTCCGGCCCCGATTGTGCACCCTCGGCCTGTCCTGCACCCTCTCACATCTGGTACCACTCAGGGGATGTCAGAGAGCTGGTTTTGGCCCAATCCCACAGGCCAGGCCGAGGGACTGCACTGGTGCACGAATTCATGCACCAGGCCTTTAGTTGGTGTATAAAAATGCCATGGATTTTGGGGTGTTAATTTTGTATCCTGCTACGTTTCTAAATTCATTTATTAAATCTAGTTTTTTGGTGGCCTTTAGGTTTTTTTTATGTACAGTATCATGCCATCTGGAAATAATGAGAGTTTTACTTCTTCCTTTCCAATTTGGATGCCTTTTATTTCTTCTTCTTTTCTGATCACTGTGGCTAGCACTTCCAGTGCTATGTTGAATAAGCATGGTGAAAGCAGACATCCCTGTGTTCCTGATCTGAGGGAAAACACTTTTAGTTTTTGCCCATTGAGTATGATATTGGCTATGGGTTTGTCATATATGGTTTGTATTTTGTTGAGATATGTTCCCTCTATTCTCACTTTGCTGAGAGTTTTTTATCATAAATGGGTACTGGATTTTATCAAATTCTTTTTGTGCATTTATTGATATGATCATATTGTTTATGTGGTATACCACACTTAGTGATTTGTGGATATTGTACTTACTTTGCACCCCTGGAATAAATCGCACTTGAGCATGGTGTATGATCTTTTTAATGTATTGCTGGATCTGATTTGCTAATACTTTACTGAGGATTTTAGCATCTATGCTCATCAGGGATATTTACCTATAATTTTCTTTCTTTGTAGTGTCTTTATATGGTTTTGGAATTAAGATAATGCTGGCCTTGTAAAATTAGCTTAGGAGTCTTACCTCCTCTTGAATTTTTTGGCATAGTTTCAGAAAGCTAGGTGTCAGTTCTTTGAATGTTTGGTAAAATTCACCTGTGAAACCCAGCAGGTTCAGGACTTTGGTTTGTTGGGATCTCAGTTTCACTGGTTGTGATCTGTCTATTCAGATTATCTGATTCTTCCTGATTCTGTTTTTGGAAAATTATATGTGTCTGGGATATTGTCCAATTTGTTGGCATGTAGTTGTTCATAATATGTTCTTACAATTCTTTGTGTTTCTTTTGTGTCCATTGTTGCTTCTCCTCTTTTATGTCTGATTTTACTTATTTGGGTTCTCTCTCTCTCTCTCTCTCTCTCTCTCCTTAATATATTTTTATTGATTTCAGAGAGGAAGGTAGAGGGAGAAAGAGATAGAAACATCAATGATGAGAGAGAATCATTGATTGGCTGCCTCCTGCATGGCCCCTACTGGGGATTGAGCCTGCAACCCAGGCATGTGCCCCTGACTGGAATTGAACCTGGGGCCTTTCAGTCCACAGGCAGGACCTCTAACCACTGAGACAAACCAGCTAGGGCCTCTCTCTTTTTTTCTTGTGGAGTATACTTACAGACTTTTGATCTTTATATTTTCACAGAACCTGCTCTTGGTTTCATTGATCTTTTGTATTTTTTTTTCTATTTATTTCACCTCTGGTTTTTATTATTTCCATCCTGTCCTTCTACTCACTTTGGGATTTGCTTGTTCTTTTTTCAGTTTCTTAAGTATAAAGTTACATTGTTTATTTGAGATTTTTCTTGTTTCTTGAGGTAAGCCTGTAATGCTATGAATTTTGCTCCTAGGACTGCTTTCCCTGTGTCCCATAGATTTTTGGTTGTTGTGTTCTCATTTTCATTTTTTTCAATGTATCTTTTTATTTTTTTCTTGATCTCATTGTTAACCCAGTCATTGTTTAGTAACACAATATTTAGCCTACATATCTTTGTGTATTTTTCACTTGTTTTCTTGTGATTGATTTTTGAAAGTGCTCTCTACCTCCTATCTAATATCTCTAAAAAAGAATTAATAAATTCATAGGGTGTAAGATGCTCATCTTTTCAATGTAAATATTAGTGCACATGTGAGAGATGACTCTATTGCATTTATTTTTTAGCAGCATGAATTCAATGACTTCAGCAGGCTCCCAGGCCAATACTGTGTTTGTGATGGCACCCCACAACGGGTATCCTGTGATCCCAGGAAGGATGTCTCAGGTGCCCCAATATCCACTCAACCAGCCCCAAGTCCACACAATTTCTGGGAACCTACATGGTTTGGAGCCACCTGTGCCTATGCAACCTGACCAGAGATCCTTTAAAGACGGCAAGGTTTTAGGGGTAAGTGAGATTTCACACTGTGTTCACTGGCCACATGGCTGGAATCAGTGCAGGGAAGGAGGTTTAGAAACACAGAAACTCCAAATTCAGCAAGTGGGGCTGGAGTTGACCCAGCCTTGCCAAACTCAGGTCTATTAAAAAACTCAGCTATGTAGCATCATCAGCTAGCTATCTATCTATCTTGGGCATTTTAGGAAAGAGAAGGAAAAGCAACAAAGAAGCAGTAAATTGGAATGTTGGTCCTGTTGCCAGAATCCATGTTGACCCATCTGGCCTCTGGAAGAAGGTGGGCCCAGCCAGACAAAAGGTGGATTCTAAACCCAATTTGTTTGAATGGAATCTTTCTCCAATGGGAACAAGATAAGAGCTCACACTGAAGTTCCCCCAAAATGGCTGTCCTGTGTGGGAAAAGGGGAAGCCCATTTCATTGCATGGTTGAATGATGACCATGGATTCTGATCCAGGATGCTCAGGTTGAAATCCTAGCTCCACCCCCATATACTACTCATAGTAATGTCAAACGATATAAAAATACCCAATAATCCCATTTATGAGACTTTGTCCTGCAGCCATGCCGGGACACAGGGGAAATATGACATGTATGAGGTTTTTTATTGCAGCATGTCTTGTGATAGAAAAAGAACAGAAATAACCGAAATACCCATCAATGTAATACTGGTTATATCAATGTATTGTACATCCAAAGAAAGAAATGTGGAGCTAAAAAAAGAAACCTCCTTGTACAATGATATGGACATACCCACAAGCTATATAATTAATGGGGGGGGGGGCGCGGATAGGAGGGTTAAGAGCAGACATGGCATGTAATTTGCTACCATTTGTGCAAATTTAAGGAAATAATATACTTGTATTCACTGCCATTTTTGTAGTATATACACATATACATATACATATGCATGTGTATATACCATTTGGCTAAGAATATGTATTAGTTTCCTGGAGCTGCCATAATACATTACTGCAAATGAGGTGGCTTAAAACACTTAGAAATGTACTGTCTCACCGTTCCAGAGGCCAGAAGTTTGTGATCATAGTATCCATGGGGCCGTGCTCCCTCTGAAGGCTCTAGGGGTGGATCTGTTCCAGGCCAGTCTCCTAGCTTCCAGTAGGTCCTTGGTTTGTGGCAGCATTATTCCCATCTTGGCATTCTCCTGTGTGCCCCTGTGACTCTTCACATGGCGTTCCTTTAAAAGGATAGCAGTCATATTGGGACCACCCTATTCCAGTGCACTTCATTTTACCTAATTACATCAGCAGCAACCCTATTTCCAAATGATAACTCATTCTGAGGCCCTGAACTTCAAGATATTCATTGATGGGGGAGATGCAGATAAATTTCTATCCTAAACAATATCACCAAAATAACAGATGAGCACAAAGACTTATCTACAAAGATGTTTATCGCAGTGTTGTTTATCATATGAAAACAGAAACAATCTTACCTGCCCAATATCTCTGTTCCAACTACTTCACAGATCATCCATGCAATGGAATGTGGGAAATCCTTAAAAAACATATGTTTAAAGAATATTTAATACCATGGGGACATGTTCGGGATGGAATCTTATTAAGTTAAATATGCAGGGCCATTTTGAATACACTATATATTTTTGGGAAAAAAAACACACACACACAAAACAATGGAGGGTTATACACCAAAATGTAAGAGATTGTAATTCTTTGAGTTGGGGAAAATTATGGCAAGTTTTATTTTTATATTATTCATATAACTTTTTAGACCAAGAAAAGGAAATATTTTTTAAAATAAAAAGGAGGCCAAGCAGTGTGAGGGGTGGGGGGCTGTGGGTAGGCTCCAGCCTCAGAAACAAAGGCCTCAACTTCTGGCTCCCTTGACAGGCCATCCAAATCCTGATCGGCCTGATACACATTGGCCTGGGCATCATCATGGGGACCATCATCCCTTGGGGCTACACAGCTATCTCATTCTACGGAGGCTATCCCTTCTGGGGAGGCATCTTGGTAAGTAATATAAGTGGCCCTGCAAGTGAGTTCCAGAAAGTGCCAACACACTGGCAAGTTGTGTCCTTTGCTACAGCCAAGAGAGCCAAGAGAGCACGCGGCCAAGAGAGCACGCGGGCTGTGAACCCAGCTCAGGCTTTATTCACCAGGAACATGAGTCTGCTTGGGCAGCCAGAACAAATACCACAGACTCGGTGGCTAAACAACAGACATTTATTATCTCATAGTTCTGGATGCTGGAAGTCCAAGATCAAGGTGTGGGCAGGGTTGTTTCTCCTGAGGCCTCGCTCCTTGGCGTGTAGGTGACTGTCTTCCTTCCTGTGTCTTCACAAGGCCTTCCCTCTGTGTGTGTCTCTGTCCTCATATCTCTTCTTATGAGAACATCAGTTATATTGGATGAGAACCCATAGGACCTCATTTAACCTTAATCACTTCTGTAAAGGCCCTATCTTCAAATACAATGCTCCTCAACTAATGATGAGGTTACATCTCAATAATCCATCGTAAATTGAAAATATCCTGCGTCAAAAGTGCATTAAATACTACACTGTAGAGCAGCCGTGGGCAAACTACGGCCCGCGGGCCGAATTCGGCCCATTTGAAATGAATAAAACTAAAAAAAAAAAAAAGACCGTACCCTTTTATGTAATGATGTTTACTTTGAATTTATATTAGTTCACACAAACACTCCACCCATGCTTTTGTTCCGGGCCCTCCGGTCCAGTTTAAGAACCCATTGTGGCCCTCGAGTCAAAAAGTTTGCCCACCCCTGCTGTAGAGAAAGGGTTGTTTACCCTCATGATTACATGGCTGACAGGGAGCTAAGGCTGGCTACTTCTGTCCAGCATCACCAGAGAGTATCTTAGTACATATAACTCACCCGGGAAAAGATCAAAATTCAAAATCCAAAGAACAGTTTCTACTGAATGCATATCATTTTCACACCATTGTAAAGTAAAAAAAAAATAAAATAAAATAAGGCCAACTATAGCGAGTCTGGAAACAACTATACAGTAACATTTGGAGGTCCTGGGTGTTCAGACTTCAAAAGATGGATTACGAGGAGACAAAATTCAGATCATATACCAAGTGACAGCCCTGTAAGGTGCCATTGCCCCACAGCGGGCACCTTTTCTAATGAGCCCAACTCAAAGGTCAGGAAACCTTTTTCTACCCATCAGCCAAGCGCTCACATGTTCTTCAACGCAAGCCCAAGGCCAGAGCTCCAGAAGGAAAATGTTTCCACCAGGAGTTAACGCTGTAGGCGTCCCAGCCACAGAACAGTCATTAAAATTAAACCTGGAATCCACAGATAATATTTTTTAGTAACATATTAGATTTTTTTCTTAAAAGCCCATAGTTTTTATCATATTCTCAGGGTGATCTGGAACCTCTTAGAAAGTTAAGAACCACAGGTCCTTTCTCTTCTCCAATGTATTGCCTTTATGGTCCTTTTACATTCTTCCTAGTGCCCTTTCTGTTCAGCACAGACCCAGACTTGGAACTCAACCAACCACAGACACCTGTGTGTATAACAGAGTTCTGTGGAGTTTGGGGAAATGGAGAAAACTAACACCACAGCCACAAAACAGTTCCTATTGAGTGTTAGATTCTCTTAAGGCCTTGGTGGCCATCTCCCCTTCCATCAGGCTGCTCAGGTCCCGTCAGCCCTCATGACACCACCCTCCCTTTTCCCTGAAGGGCACTTTTGCTCTTCATTGCCTTCTTGACTACAGGACTATCTATTTCCTAAAGATCATATGGTCCTCCTCCAAACCAAAGGCCCTCTTCTTAGGCACCTTAAAAGGACCAGCAGAGACACCAGAAGTCTAGCCTTCTGTTTCCTTCCTTTCCTACAAAGTCTGCAGAAAACATAAAATTGAGGCTAATTTTCCCACTTATAGGAAAAATGGCATTCCTCTTACAAGGCATTGGTGGCTAGAGTAAGTTTTCATTGTGAATACTCATTTCCATTCCAAGACACAGGCATCTACTCTGAGGTGGAATGAGTACAGGATGAGGGTTAAGAACATGAGATCTGGAGTCAATTACCTGGATTTTATTTCCAGATATGCTATTTTCTGGATGGTCTTGGGTGTGTCTTTTAAAATTTTTAAGCCTCAGTCCACACCTCCTTAAACTGGGAATAATAATGGTGCTTGGCGGGCCATCATGGAGTTAAGTAAGGCAAAGTTCAAAGCACTTCATGTAGGGCTGAGCAAAGCTTCCATTAAACCATAGCTGATGTCCTTCAGACTGTTACTGACAGAAGGGAATCCCATCAGCCACTATGCCTGCAGAACATCAGTGTTGAAATAAATGCACACAATCTACCCCATAGCCCTCATAGTTGATCTTTGCCATCACAGAAATGCAACATTTTTCTGATTAACTAAAGATACTCACCAAATTGTAGACAGGTAAGGACTAATGTTGGGCTTATATCCAAAAGCAGTGAAAATACGGAACCCCTTCCTTCTTCCCTCAAGAGCCCCCATGCCTGAGTGAATCCTTTTAGGAGGCCAATAAGATGTGCATGTGGGAAAATAAAAGGCAAGAAAAGGAGAAATTTTATTGAGTATCTACCATGTACAGGATCTACCATGGGCAAGATATACCAAATGCTAGATGCAAGGGCCTGATTATCTCAATAACGATTAGGAAGACAAATAGTTTTTCCAATTTTTTGAAGAGGAAATATACACTTAGAGAAATTAATAACTTACCCAGAGAAATTAATAACTTACCCAAGGTCACATGAGTTTCAAGTTAGAGTTTAAAACCAAGTATAGTGGATTCTAAAATATATATTTATCCCAATTCACTGCCCTGTCAGGGGTGCAAAATAGTCTTTCCTTCTTTCCTCCCTTCCTCCCTCCCTTCTTCCCTCCCTCCTCCTCCTCCTCCTCCTCCTCCTCCTCTTCCTCCTCCTCCTTCTTCTTCTTTCTCTCTCTTCTTCTTTCTCTCTCTCTCTCTCTCTCTCTCTCTCTCTCTCCTCAGTTGAGTGGGAGGTCTCAGCAGAGGATCATAGCATTTATGAGAGAATATATGTGTGATAAGAAACACAGAAGCCTGAAGGTGGGGCCCTGACCCAACCTCTTTCTAAACGCCCTCTCTTCTGTGCCAGTTCATCATTTCAGGATCCCTCTCAGTGGCTTCAGAAAACCTACCGAGATCTCCTTGCCTGGTAAGTCCCATCCTGAGACAGGCTCTCCCAGCTGTGGACCCTTAGGAGAGACACACAACAGGGGAAAGAAGCTCACACACAATGCCTCCCTCATCCTTGAACCTGCTTATAACCAGACACAGGGCACTGACATGCATGCTCATTTACAGAACCACATGAACCTGACCAGAGTCACAACTGGGGAAAGAGTTCAGAAGACTCGGGGAAAGGAAGGGCAATAAAACCAACTTCATTTAGGCATCAGGGTGTGGAGAGACAGAGAATAACTTTCCTAAGAGGATCTTACAAGAGGAGGCAAAAAGCTACCTGGGGTGCAGGGCTCCCCTCCTGGAGCACACAGAGCCCAGTGCCAACATTTCTACAGGGAAGCCAGGGGAGGCTCAGACCGCAGCTTCCCTAAGGAATCCTGCCAGATAAGCTCTGTAAATCAACGTGAACAAGGCTTGGTGGTCCCCAAGCACTGGATTAAGAAAGTACCTTTGCTTCTCTCACAAGCAGGTTATCTGGGGCATGGGGCCCCAAACTGAACCAGTCCCAAACCAGATGAGATCTATTTTAAAATCTCCATAGGGAAGGTCAATTCTGGGCATGCCTTTCTGCACATTTACCAGAATTTTGGAGCATCAGAGCCTGTCACATCCCAAGACACTTGGGTTAAGTTTCCTACCCTTCTCCTGGGGGATAAATGGGTCAAGTGTTTCCCAAAGATTATTCTTGGGGATACTTGTCCCATGAGATACTTTATGATTAGATAAACTTGGGGAAGGGGGTGGAAATATCTATTTAGTAGTCCCCTCTCTGGAAGATCCATAATCCATGTTAAAGGCTCTGAGAAGTCCTGCACAAAATACCTGTTTAACATTTTTCAGCCCAGGTGTTTTCAAAGCTAATTCACCACCATTTTACTTTTTTGCATAGTACACCTCTTGCTCCAGAACTAGGATTCTGGGAATGCACATTAAGAATCACAAGTTTAATCTATTTCTCAAGTCAACTACAATCATTTTTCTCTC